AAAAGCAAACAATAGTAGTAACACACATCACTTATTTAAGATCCATACATGTACCCACCCATCCCATCCTCTAGTAGTAACTTGCAAATTATCAATAATATACTACCGCTTAGCTGAATTAGAAATTATTACAAGGTAGAAAGAGAACAAATAATACGGAGTATGTTACATTATTGAGAATCTTTAAATAAATAGATACTTAGATCTAGGCATAGCACCTAAAGCCAGTATTCTGAGATGTACATCAACTAAAACATAAATAAAAGCAATAACAAGTTTGTTTGTCAGAATACATACTTTCAAACTAAATATAAGAGGTTAATCAGAATACATCCTTACAAGCTTCCATAACAGAAATTTATAGCTTTACAAGTTACAAAAAACAATTTTAGAAACATAAAGGTACAAATTTCATGTTCCCATTAAACCTATACCAAAGAAAGCATCATGTGCCCATAATTCATTTAAATAATTAAAGAAGTTTGGTTCACATAATTCAAGCCAAATAAAATAATACAAAAATGGAAGTTCAAGAAAAATTAAAAACCATGAAACCATGACTTTTGGTTCATAGAGTGCATAAATTTAAAAAAAACCAAAACATATTTGTTACAAACTTGTTTCAAAATCGAATCGGACTAAAAAATATGGTCTAACATAATTTGAATAATTAAAGTAGTTTCATTCACATCATTGAAGCAAATTAAAACATTCAAAAAGTGGAAATTCTATAAAAAATTAAAAACCTGAAAATCAGAGGTGGGGGATCGGAGACTAGGATGGCGAAGGCGGCGGAGGCTGGGACGACGAAGAAATCCGGAATGGTGAAGGGATGGCGGTCATTTCAATTCGCAGGTCGCCAATGACGGCGAGGAGAAGGGGAGAGGCGCTGGCCAATTGGATCTGTAACGGAGGTAGATGACGACGACGACGATGATTGGAGGCGGCGATGGTGCGGTGAAGATAGCGACTGGATGGCGCCCAACCATCTGTAACCCTACACTTACACAAAAAAATATACCTCATTTGTAACCCTATAATTTAACTTTTTTTGTTCTATACTTATTAGTGGGGGATAGTTCCGCCACTATTTTATTTCTTATTAGTGGGAGAAAAGTCTGCCACTAATTTAATTCTAATTTTAAAATAAATTTAAATTTCTTTTGTATCGCCCTTTTAAATTTTAAATTATTCCCCTAGTTATGATCGTTAAATTTATTTCAATTAGCTGCGATACTAGTGGCGGAAAAAGCTGCCACTAAATAAAATTTTCAAATAGAGGGTAAGTAGTCCCCCTCTATTCTGCCGCTAACTAGAGGCGAAAAAATCCCCCTCTAAATGTGTGCAGCTAATACGCGAAATTCTAGTAGTGAGTAAAAACATAATCACAGTTTAAAAGTTTTTTTGCAAAAATAAAAAAATGGGAAAGAAAATTTTATTTTGCTTTCTTAAAAAAATAAACGATATGGTATAATAAGCAAATACGAAATACTTATTATTTCTGCAAAAATAAAAAAATTAAATATATTTTTGATGTGAGAAATTTCACGTTAAGTAATATCGACGTTAGGTCTACTAAAAAAACACTTCTTAAGAAAATGATTTTTTGTGACGTAATAATCATGCTGTTAAATTGTAATGTACCCTCTATATGCATTTTCATCACCTCTAACAAAGTAAGAGATTAACTATCTTTTTGTTTTGGATACGATGGAAATAAAACAAAATGATTCGTTAACATGCTTGCGCTTCTTTTACAGCGAATTACTAATGGATAAATTTTGGAGTTCAATTAAGGGTAATTTATCTAATTTACTTTCTCAATATAAGACCATATGTTTTTATTTCCCAATGTAGGACCATTGGTCATTATCTATTAGTCATTATTCAACTAAATGTCCAGCATCACTTGGACATTATTCTTTTCACTAGGTCATTATTAAGTTCTATTTAGGGAATAAAAAAGTTTAAGTCCTACTTTGAGAAATGACCTATGTTTAAATCCTATGCAGTACAAATTTCACTTCAATTAATTAAACACCGCAATCTATATTACTTTGTAGTATAAAAATAATTTTATTAGATTTATTTTGTTAAGAAATTTTAAAAATTATTTCATTATATTATAATAATATGCATTACAAACATGAGTAATTGATGAGTAGAGTTTGTCCAAATTTACTCAAAAATGTCAAACTAGATAAATACATTTGGAACAAAAAAATACTTCCCCCGTCCTAAAACATTCTTCCCATTTCTGTTTATGAGGTTTGAACGACTTTATTTTCAATTCAATTTATTTGATTTTAGGTGTAAAATATAATTTAAAAATTACATTAAAGGTTCTACAAAACAAAAGGTGACAAGACTATATTATTTTATTAAATAAGTAACAAAAATAGGAAAAGAAAGTAATTAAATTTTGACCATGTGGATGGTAAATAGTTCCTGGGATGGAGTATAACACAAAGTGAGAACCACAATAAAGTAGGAGAATAAATCTGATTCAAAAAAGTGGTAAGGGGAAATGCTGAAATAATGAAATCAAACTCTCTAGCCCATCTTTTGGCTACCATGGCCTATTCCCAACCCCAAATTATGTACTGGGACTCTGTTCCTCCTTTTTTTTTCCGTCTTTGATTAATCATGTGTGAGTTTTTTCCTTCAAAAAAAAATATCCATCATTTATATCAATTCATTACTTTTCAAGAAAAATTATAAACATTTTATTTGTAATTTTCTAACTCTTGCATCTCTTATTTTATTTTTCATTAATTAAAATACTCTATAATTTTTATTGTTAATACATTGATTTTGTATAAAACCTCATATTTTTAAGTATTATACTAATATGCATGTCACCATTTTTTAAATCTACATAGTTATATTATTATTTAAAAAAGAAGGTAACATAGCTTATATTATTAAAAAAATTACGCAGTATAGATTTTAAAACTATTCACCATTATTTCCATTTATAATATTTCAAAAACAAAGATTTATTATATAAATGTAAATAAATGTACATTATTATTAAAACTACTAACTTTTATTTCAAAAAGATATCATATCTAATAACTAAAAATATATTTAGTGTAAAAATAAAAATAATAAAATTATATTTTGATTCAAAACATAATATAATTTTATCAAAATGTTAAAATTTTTAGAATATTATACTTCCTCCTTTCTTAAATGTTTACGACATTTCATAAAATGGGGTAAAATATCAAATTTTTTCAATTCATTTTATTTAAATATTGGTATACAAATAAAAAATAAAATTTACATGTTCAAAAACTACATGATCTTTGAAACAAAATGTGTCAAAAATAATTTATTTTATCAAATAATCAAAAGAACATACAAATAAACAAAAGTTCTTGTGCTTATTAAAAAAGAAAATGTGTCAAACATTTTGAAACGAAGCAAGTGAGTTCATATTGAGCCTGATATTAAAAAAATTAGAAATTACATTCTATTAGTAGAGTAAATTTAGTGTGGACTGAGTTTTGAGTTTTGCTAATTAGTAATTACTCTAATTCTTATTTCAATGAAAATACTAAGAACAAAAAAAAAGGCAAACTTGCACATGATATCCTTCCTCAATTCACGCTTACACGGTTTTCCCACACACCAGACAGAAGTACAGAACATCATATGTGGCCCCACATATAATATATTCTCTCGGTGTGTGGGAACGCCTTCCTTTTGGAAGAGGAAAAAAAGAATGGCTCAAAGTTCAAAAGAATGTAAATTCCATGATTTCTATATCATCTAAATGACAAATCTTGTATACTAAAGCCATTATTGATCCACGCCAAGATCGCCCCATCTCACATTGTATCGGGCTGCAAGATAGTGGGCTCCGATGGGCCCACGACTCCCGTAGGGGTAGTACTCGGGCACTATTTTCTTCTCCTCAATCTCCTTTAAAACTGGAGTGAAGAGAGACCAAGCAGCGTCGAGTTCATCGCTTCGAATGAAAAGTCTCCTTTCCCCTTCTATTGCGTCAAGTAGAAGCCTTTCATATGCATCCGGGATCTCCTTGGAGTACCTTTTGTGATGGGAAAAAAAAGTGCCGAATATAGAACGTGAACAACTAAATCCGGCCAGATGAAGTAAAAGAATGTGCATTCTCTAAGCTCGTGCTTATTGCTGATAAGCAATTTTTAGCTTATAAGCTACATATAAGCAAGAAATGCTTTCGTGGAAGTAAAATGACTTAAATGATAGATAAACCATTTAGGAATACTCATAAATGGTGGGAGATAGTTTTGTAAATAATCTTGTCAAAAGGAAGAAACAAAAAAATGGCTTCAAAATAAGTAGGTAAAACCTACTTATTTTTTCTGGTTTATAAGCAGCATATAAGCACATTATAACATGTCATGAGCTGACATATAAGTTAAAAATTACTTATAAGCTTTGACCGACTTATAAGTTATAAGCACAGTGAAACACCCACTTTGTAGAAATAATAGGTCAAAACCACTAAAAAATGAAAACAAATAGGCCACCAAGAAATAAGGCAAACGACTGAGAACCAACCTGGTAGAATAAAGCAGATTAAGATTACTGCGGTCCAACCTCATTCCCAGACCAGGGACCTTGTTATTGATCTTTAAAAAAACAGCTTCGTCGGGCTGGACACGGATGACTAGCTCATTTGTTGCCTGGTCCAAGTCCGACCCAAAGTTTTTGTTGTACAGATTTCCCGGCACGTGCCTAAACTGCACTCTTATCTCAGCGCTGAGATGAAAACAACAGAATGGAGGATTAGTTAACAATCCATGCTTGTTTAGTACCCCCCCCCAATCCCATATCTCTCTTCTCCTTTTGACTTGGTACACGTTTTACTGTAAGATGAAAAATGTTTGAATTTGGTGGCGTAGTAATTGAAGACAAAAGCGAACAGTGCAAAGGGTAAAACAGTCTTTTAGCTGTATAAAAGCTAAACAGTGTTTCCATTCAAGGAGAAGAAGGATATAGGACACGAAATCATCATATAAATTGACAAAAAAACCTTCTTGTATTCAAAGCCTTTCCGGCTTTCATTAAAAAAGGAACGCCATCCCATCTCGAATTATCAATGAAAATAGCAGCAGCAGCAAATGTTGGGGTTAGGCTGTCTTTTGGGACAGTCTTGTCATCGGTGTATCCAGGATAAGCAACCCCTCCCTTTGTATGGCCCTTGTATTGCCCTATTACCACGTCGTCAAGTTGTAAAGGCCTCATTGAACGTAACACTTTTACCTGTAAATACATTATATACCAATGAACATGTATAGGGCTACAATTTTAAACAAGGGAAGAATTTCTTTGAGTATCTTCAATTGTTTGAGACAATGTAATCCCCAATTTCTCTTTCAAATTTTATAAAAAAATCCCATAATTGTAATAATAGAGATCCACCGGTCTCATCTAGTTAAAATCAACTTTTCAAATTTAAGTTTATGGGCCATTCTTGACAATATAGAAAGCCGAGAATGCCTCTATAAGCCGTAAGCCCGTAATAATGGATAGTGCAAAAAATTCATAGGCATGTCCCCATTAACATAATGTCAATTTCTGACATTATGTAAATATGGGACCTTTCTTTCATACTCCATCCGTCCCCAAAACAAAGCTACATTTTCTTTTTTGGGTTGTCCCAAAATGAACTTCACAGATCTTTACTTTCCCATTGAAGAAACAAATATGTGGCACACGTTGTTTCTTTTTCTTCTAAATAAACAACAACCATACATCTGTCACTTTTCTATTTAAAAAAATATCCCTGCAGAAAAAGGAATTACCTTTTCATTCCTGATATCTTCTGCATCTAAACTGACGGGGGTTTCCATTGCAAAGAGTGCAAGGATTTGAAGAAGATGATTTTGCATGATGTCTCTGATTATTCCATAATTATCAAAGTAACTGGTAACAGCATGCATAATAAACACATCAGAAATGGTGAGGAGTTCTAGAAAATTATATTGACAAAACGGTTCAAAATAAGCTCATTGAGAAGAAGAAAAAGAAGGAAAAGGACGAAAGTACCCTCCACGTCCTTCGGTGCCAAAATCTTCGGAGAACAAAAACTGTACATTTCTTATGTATTGCCTTGACCATAATGGTTCAAAGATAAGGTTGGAAAAGCGGAGTACAGAAAGATTTTCCACAAGCTCTTTCCCAAGATAATGGTCTATCCTGTTTAACAATGATAGGAAAAGGTAAGTAAAAAATAAAAAAGAATAGCCTTACAATGTTTAATGTTTTTCCTTCCTCAACAATAGAATTTTTTACGTTCACATTAAACTTTTTTTTGTTACTCATCCCTGAAATTTATGACATTCTTTTTAGTCCATCTTAGTCAAAAAACCAACATGACTTGTAAACTGCCAATCTTAATTCTCCACATTAACATTTTGTAGCTCATAGACAGCTATTAAGGATTTATAGACTATGGGAAACTCACAATTACCACTTTCAATTAATGCCTTCCTCGCTTTCTAGAAATAAAATAGCACGCATTTTTCAAAATGATGTGGAAAACCAGACTGGAGTTTGGTGAGTCACCGCCAGTTTTGAAAATGGGGTTAAACAAAAAAAATTGTATTTATATAGACGAACATCATATTTAAGCCTAAAATACTTTGAATTTGTGAAATGAGATGACAGGCGGATAAGGCTTTATAATACCTAAAAATTTGATCTTCCTTCAAGTATTTCTTAAGAGAACGAGTTAACAAAGAAGAAGATTCAGAATCCCGCCCAAATGGCTTCTCCACAATGACTCTTGTCCATCCGTGGGTAGATGATGCAGAGAGACTTGCGCATCGTACAGCATCTATGAATATGTTTGGCGGGATCGACAAATAAAAGAGGCGGTTGGAAACTTTTCCCATCTGTAAATACATACTAATAGACAATTAAAACAAAAAAAATCCTAGCAGATTAAGAGTTTAATCACCGCAAAACAACGAACAAAAATTCATTTGGGATCTTTTGATAGCAAGAAAATAACATCATTAGTGAAAGATGTTTTCCTTGGAAAACATTTTCATACTATAACTTTTTAACACGTGAAAATAGAAAAAGTAAATTTGTTTGGGGAAAATGACTTTCCGTTCTCAAATAGGGAAGTCATTTCTTCCACAAAATCACAAATGTTCATAAAACAACAACAGACCCAGTAAAATCGCACCACAGTAGGATCTGGGAAGGGTGCATGTACAAATAGGTGCTAAACACAAGAAATACTAGAGGAAAAAATCCTATGCCAAAACACATATAAAAACTAGGTCGACATTTTTAAAGGAAAATAAGTGTAAAAAAAATGGAGCCCGAGTTCCACTGTATTTCCTGCCTATAGTCACATGCTTCGGTTGCTAGAGCACTATTTTCTAAAATATTCACTAAAGTGAGTAATAATACTACATGTGAGTGTATGAAAAAAATTTAAAAGAACCATATGCACTTTTTAAAAATGAAACAACAAAGAAAGGAGTAACAAAATGAACAAGAGCATTTTACTGTGACTGGTACCTCATGTTCTTTGAGCTTTCTATCAAGCTCTGAAAAATTTTCCTGTGAATCATACATTCCACTATGGTAGAAACATCGTTTTAGGAACTCTTCCATTTTTTCACCACAATTTGCCCTGCATATGAAGTTCACAACAACTTATAAGCCAATGAATGAATTTCTGATTTATCGTTCTTTTAGGATCTGTTTGGAACCAAGAAACTAGAGAAAGGAAAATGCAGGGAAAAATTGGAGGATCAAACTCAATTTTTAGAAAACTTCAAATACAATTACTTTTTATATCTCTGTAATAAAAAGGCTTTAAAATTTTAAATGTATGCAAACATTCATAGACTTTTAATCGAATATGTTTTCCTTTTTATTTCCAATGGTAAAAACGTAACACGCTATAGCCAAACATGAGAAAACTGTTTTCCTTAGCAATGGTATCCGGTCACTATCATTTTCCACATTCCAATTTCCAAACAGTTAAAAAGAACACAAATAAAAAGAAACAAAAAAATATACTCCGTGTATGTGTCATTGTGCATATCAAACCAATAGTAGAAATAGAAGATGATACCTTTTATCAATTCTGCAAGTAAGAGTTTTGCTAACCATGGTCCTAAGTTCTTCATCAGTCATCTTGCTCCGGGCATATCCAAAAATAGTGAAGTGCTGATACACCCCAAAAAACATAAATTAGTTGTTATAACACCACATATAAATCTTCAGAATGGCAGAAGAAAAGGAACTAGTACTATCATGAACATTTTCCACGTTTGGTCCTTGACGTTTTCACTTTTCAACCTTTGGTGGAAGCCTATGGATTTCTAGTCACTTTTGATCCTTCGGATCACTTCTCCCAGCTCTGTTGCCAATTTCTGTACAACTTCTAGATGATTTTTGCTGGGTAAGTGACCAGAAAGGATGGATTGACCTAATAGTCATGGGATCAAAAGTGAAAACTTATCTAGCCTTGGAGAATACAGACCTCAGGGAGACATTCTTCATAATAAAGGGCAAAAAGGGCAGGAAATATCTTCTTCTTAGCAAGGTCTCCAGATGCCCCCACGACAGTTATACTCACAGTTGAATTGTCTTTGTCGTTGTTCTTATTATAAAAGGTAAGAGAATCTTTAAGCTCCTTCTTGGGAGAAAAACTCAATGGCAGTGGCACCGTTTCTTTTGGTTTCGTTGATGTTGTTTCGTTTCCCGCTGGAGCCAATGGAGATGTTATGCACCCTAAAAATGAAGCCCGCATTCACATAAGAAATAGACACAAGTGTAACATGCTTATTACTTAGGCCAAGAGCTCTCATGCCATAGCTTCAAAACACCATTATAAAATTTCCTCTTCTTGTCAACAACTAGTACGCAACTCCCACATTCTCTACTATCAGTTTTTCAATGTTGGTTCATAACTAGATACTTCCTGCCACTCTCGGTCTTTTCATGCCATCAATCTAGCGAAAGTATTCGAGAAATGCCCATGGTCAATTTAAAGTGAAAATAACGAATGCCCTAGACCAAAAGTAGAATTCTTTCTTCAAATTACTAATCAATTAAGCAACAACTACAAATAATCAAACAAGCAAGCACAGCTACACCAGCGCTCCTATAACTCCACCTCAGTTTCCTAAAAAAAGATTCAATTTTTCACACGATTGAAGAAAACCTGTATCAAATATGTAGAAAACTAATGCATTTCAAACTAAACAAGAAAAACAGGTTTGACATGAACCATGAAAATAAATGCACAACAGATAATCAAGAACATCGAAATTGAAGCTTATGAATCTTCCTTACTTATCGAATTGGGCGATGGGCGTCGCTTAGGAATCAAAGAAACATGGCTGAGGGCGAACTTGTTTGGAAAGATTGAATAAACGGCGGCTATGTTCTTATGATGTCCCAAAACAACAGGAGACAAATCTGAGGTTGCTGACAATGAAGCGCAATTAGAAATCGCCATTTCCGTGTCTCCCTCTTTTCACCACGTTCTCTGTCTGTCTCACTTTAGAAAATCTCAGGGAAAAAAAATAAGGTTTTGAGGGGTCAGAGAAAGTTCGGAGACGCCGAGGGGAGAGACTCTTCTTGGGATCTCCGAAAGGCTGCTGATCTCAACGGCTTATTGAGCAAAAAAAATTAGGGGAATGTCAAGTGTACAGACCAATAAACCAATTTCACACCCAACTTGTTTAGTTCTTTCTTGTTTGTGACTTTGTTTGAAACTATTATTAGCATTAAAATAACTTTAAAAATGTTAATATCAAAAAAGTTGTTGGGATAATTTTTAAGATGTTGAAGTTAATGCCAAAAATAACTAATGTGCAGTGCCACAAATTTTTTTTATTATAAATTAGTCTTTGATGTATAAAAAAATCTGAAAAGAACATATCTACAAATCTTATATCTTTTTTTGATGATTTACTTTTAATTGTAATGCTTTGAAACCTGTTCCTTTATCTTGAAGGAAGAGATTCATATTCCGTAATTTAAATAATCAAAATAGAAGAAACAAAGTTTGAGGTGTTAAACTCACACAAACAAGATTATGCAAAACACATTTGACTCAGACAATTTTAATGTAAGAGAGAACTTGAACTACAACCCCCAAGGTGCCATTTGTGGCTTATCCTTGAATTAAGACAAAATATGCACACATTCCTTCATACTCGATCACCATAACATACACTTTTAATCACTCTACGTCATACATATTTACACCCTGTCAAATCCCGTCCTAACACATGGCCTAAGGCTATTTGTAATGTCTAACCACTGCCCACTCCAAATCAGCAGCCACTCAGCGCCATATCAACACTGACTGTACTCACTATCTACTCACTTAACACCTGTAATGCCTCACCACCACTGCAATGATTACACTTTTACTTTTTTTTATATAAATAATTACTTATTTCTATTAAAATCAAATAATAACTTCATAAAATAATAATATTAATTTTTTCTGTTCTTATTTTTCATAATTAATTTTATAAATTATTTTTTGTAATTATATTTTGTTCGTTATTTTTTTTAATTTTTTCCTTTTTTATATTATAACAAATTATTGCACAAAAAGGCAATTAACCAAAAAAAAGTCATGTTGAATAAAAGAAAAGTATACACATGCATTACATAAATTAAGAAAATATAAAAAAAACTAGGTTTGATCACGATCATGTTCGGTCGCATATTCTTTCCTTATTTTGTCTTTCATCATCTCGATCAAGGCAAGATCACATTTGCCCGTCTGGTCGATCATACTTCGTGCCTAGGAATGCCATGTCAGACATCATTTAACGGTTTCTTTTTATTTTGATGGAAGCCTTTTTCACCTCCAAAAAGTTGGTCATTTGAGAGGTTAAAGACTACAACTATTCCTTGTAATCGCCGCCGTCCTTGGAACCCGAAGTGACTCTCTTCTTACCTCTCTCTTTCGCTTATGACCAATCTCGTCTCATCGTCGTGGACACATTTTGCATATAGACCTCATCGTCCTCTTCCTTATCGTCGAGGATGACGTAGCAGTGGGCGCCTACCCTTGACTTCCGGTGAAAGGGTCTTTGTTGGACGATGAAGTCTTCAACCACTTAGAGGGTCGAAAGGGTGTCGCTTTTTGCCAGCGCATCGACTGACGCATAATCTTTCACGCCTCGATATTACCAAAAGTGTGGCCCTCGATGCACTTGTACTCTTGATGCGTAGTGTTGATGATATCCAGTTCACCCCAACAACTTATTCTATTGTTTATGTGGCAGGTGAAGTATCTGACAAATTTTCTAACTTTTTTCTTCAAGTCACTCCACTTACTCGTCAACATGTCTATCATACGGTAGTTCTCTCTCCAGTTCCAGATAATACTGTTTGTGGTCGCAATCCCAAAAAGTGCTCAATTTTTTGTTGTTGGCTACAATTTTTTTTTTTAAAAAATTGTGTTAGTCGAAATAAATTTCAAAAAAGTTTGTACAAAAAAAAATGAAGTTTATTACGGACGGCCTAAGATAAATATGATGCTCGATTACTCGTTGGTAACATTCTTGATATATATATACTCGTTGGTATATATATGTATATATATATATATATATATATATATATATATATATATATATATATATAGACAGACACATACATACTACGTACGCTTTCAATATCACTTTCAATTGAAGGAGTCAAACAAAAAATGACAAACACATGGATGCAATATATGATTATTATATAATAGATGGAAACATATGTGTTGCCTAATTAAACGTACCCCTGCCCCAACTCGATCTGTATTTTAGTCCCTTGTTCGTGTTCTAACCGCAGTGTCTTTTTTAAAATAATTAAAAAAAATTGGATAAATTTGAGATTGTTAAAACTAAATGTTGCGGGAGATCCATTATAAGAGCATGAACAATGGTGAGACAACAAAAATGGAATGACACACGCTGACGTGAAGCATTTCAACTAATAAAAAATAGTCCAGTCAACGAGTGGCACGTGAGTGGAGTGGCAAGTCATTGTTTTCATCATTTTTTTCACATTTTTGCCATATTTGAATTATTAAAAATTATTTTACTTATATATTTTTATCATGAAAATATTTCTATTTACTCAAATAAATCATTTTTTATACGGAGTATATATTTTAATTATTAAAAATGTTTTTGTTATCTACTCCATATTTTTATTTATTCCTTCATCTCAATTTAGATTATTATTTTAGAATTACGATGCAAAAACTCTTTGTTTTTAAAAATCATTTTATTTTAAAATTGGTATAAGAATTAAAAATAAAACTTATAAATTTAAAGATTACATCAAAAGTTTTACAAAAAAAGATGTGACAAAAAATTTTTTAATTAAATAATCAATGAAAACATACAAATAAACAAAAGATATCGAGAGATGAGGAAAAAAATTATAATCTATTGCAAGATGAAGAAAGTAAAAAATAATTCTATTACTTTACAAAAAAATCTTTCTCAAATAAAAACTGAAAAGTAAAAGAAAAATAGGTTAGATTTGCCTCGCCCAAGCCTTGCATCCCACGGAGGAATGGTGCTTCCACGCAAGGAGAGAGAATCTTTTGTCCTAGGTGGCATGGCGTGGCAACGGCTTGGAATGCCGCTGCCCATGGTCTAAAGAGCAGAGCCAGCTCAATGGTGGGCCAAGGTGCCCTACCCGCTCAGTCCTTTTTTTCAGGAGCCCAACATTTTCAATTTTTTAATATCTATATCATATACGAAGTACTTTTTTATTAAAAGTGTTAAAAGTAAAATTTTTTAAGTTAACTATTACGATATTTTATTGTAATACTACTACGTCGTTATGTGTATTACTATAAACCTCGTATTTATTGTTGTTTTATAAAAATAGTTTATATAATATAAATTGTTAGGGTCAATGCCCATTTTTTCCGTCTCGACCAGGATTACTCTATCTTCGGGACCGACGCTGATAAAGAGTTGTTTGGCAAAAGCAACCTTAACCATTAATTATTACTCCATTATTACATTGTTGAGTTTGGTTAGTGTGATAAGCTAAGTTTTGAGTCACTCTCACACAAATCAATACATAACCATCTACACACCACTTTTGTCATGTTTTATGTGTTGTATTAGGGATGAACAAATCTATCCCCTCCCAGCCCACCTTCCTTATTTTATACCTTAGCACAAACATGCAGCTCCAAATGAGTTAACACAAAACCATATATACAATATTCATCAAATCCCACTCCAAACATATCAAATCCACACAGACAATTTCATGCTCATACCATATGATCTGCTTATTAATTAATCACTCCCATGGACGAACCTTCCCAGCAAAATCTGGTCCACATTATGTTTTTTCCCCCCTCCCCAGTCTCTTCTATTCCATCCCCCCAAACAGACCAGAGCATAGTAATATTCTCCTTTTTAAAAAAAAATTCCCACTTTAACTTTACAGAGATTAAGAAATAATGCATAGAAAGAAATACGTGAATTGTTAACATCCCCTTGGTTCCCATGACATTAGGAATCAATGTTATGGGATGACTCGGGGGTACTCCGGTGCCCCATTTGTAAAATTTACCACCCCTCTAACCTCCCTGGTAATCCCCCCCCCCACATTTTGACTCCAAAGTCAAAATTAACTTAGGGGTGCAATTGAAGGAGGAGGAGGGGGGGTAAGGGGTGTGTTCGGGTCGGGGCGGGGCGGGGGGTTACCGAGGAGGTTAGGGGGTAGAAACCGACAATTTTACAAACGGCGTACCGAAGCACTCTCGGGTCATCCCATGACATTGATTCCCAATGTCATTGGAACTAGCCCCTGTTAACATTTGTTTAGAAGAAATAAATACCACCTTGATTCTTTTGACAACAAGATTGGGTGTCATATTATGACACTCAACTAAATTATTTTATACTATTCCGTACATCCGTCCTAAATTATTTTTTAAAAAATGGAGAAATTGGTTTTTAGATGTTTTAAAAAAACAAAAGTATATATGAATTTTTTAAAAAAGAGGGGTACTAATTATAATAATTTGCTCTTATTTATATATTTCCCTTCTCGTGCAAAGCCCATTTCCAACTCAGGGCCTTCCCTCTCTTCTCTTTTCTCACAAACTCCATCCATCAACCAATTCTCTCAATCAAAGCCTCTTCTTCTTAACTTGCCTTCTCATTCCAAAATGAAGGTAATGAAACTTTCAATTTGAGAGTTCATTATTTTGGAATTAAATTTCAATTTCAATAACCACAAATGATTATTTTTTATTTACTCTTTTTTTTAAAAATTATAGATATAAAATTGGTTTTTATATTTTATATTTTTTGCAGTTACTTGGTTGGATGCACCGTAAGTTCCGACAAGGTAGCGGCGAACCTCTCAAAGATTTCTCCTCCGGTAAGCTTCTACTATGGAGTCTGAGGGTAATTAATTAGAATATACTACAAAATATTTTCTAATACTACAATTTACAATTTCAGTTTTTGGTTGAGTTGATTTTCTGATAATGGATACTAAAACAGAATACTTGTTGATGGCAATGGTAGACAACTAGCACCTTGTTTGGGAAGAGCGTTTTCAATTAGTGTTAACGTTTTGGATAAAAATTTAACGGTGTATAATTAACTCTGAAAACGCTAACGCTAAACGCCTTTTAATATCTAACCCTGATGCCAAACGGGGACTAAGTCATTACTTAAATTGTTGAGCTAGACAACCAAACAAATTAAACATGTATACATGCATGGAAATATGTATACACACATATATTTACAGGGCACCCTCCATTGGATGACATCCAATGCTACCCCAAGGCAAACCATTACTTCACAAAGTCCTCCAGCAAATCCCAAAGGGACAACCACCTCCTCCTCCTCCGCAAATCCTTCGCCGACAGCCGGACAGCCAACGAGTCCGACCACCACGGGCAGTACTACGACGATGAAGACCTGCAGCGGGACTCGTCGGCCGCCGCGCTCTCCGACCTCTTCCACGGCTTCCTCGCCATCGGGACGCTCGGCGGGGACCACCCGCTGGGCGGCGGCGGCGGGGACCCCTATGCGACGCCCACGTTCTCCATCTCCGTGGACAACATCGCGGAGAAGGAGACGGGGGAGGTGACGGAGAGCGACCTCCGGATGATCAACGACGAGCTCGAGAAGGTGCTCCTCGGGGACAGCGCGGGTGCCGACCAGATCGCGTCCGGCCGGAGCAGCCTGGTCAGCAACCCCAGGAGCAGTCACTGTAGCACTATAACACTGAGCCGGAAACAGCTCGAGAGCATAGAAGCCGCCGCTGCGGCGGGGGCAGCGGCAACCAACATCTGCCCCCTCCAAGGCTACCTCTTGGGGTCCGCCGCCATCGGGGTGTCCGAGACGGCGGCGAACAAGAAAGAGCCAAGGCCTTCACTGGGAGAGCTCTTCCAGAAGACCAAAATGGTGGATGAGAGTTCATATGGAAACAAAGGGGAGAGTAATAAGAAGGAGAATGATAAATCAACTGTTCATCATCTCTTGAAGAAGATACTAAAGAAGGGAATGATTCATCCTTCTTCTTCTTCTAAGGGCTCTTCCACTGCAGACTCTGCTGCTGACACTAAATTCAACAAGGTATATATGTATACCTATTCCACTTTTGCCCTTTTGTATTTATTTTTCAGATTAATATCTGACTTGTTTAATGCAGGTGCTGCAAATGTTCCACAGGAAAGTGCATCCTGAGAGCATAGCAGCAACAGAAAAGCTTGAGAAGCCATCCAACAAGCAGAACCAACTTATGTATGACAACCTTCTGGCCGCCGCCGGCGGCGAAGATGTAGCTCTTGTTCCCAAGCGCCGCATGTCAAATTGCGGCGGCATGAGGCATCTCAAGAGCCAATCCGGCCTGCGCCACCAGCTGGCCGCCGGCGATCCCAATGTCAACAAAGAATGTTGGATCAAGAGTGACGCTGACTGTAAGTCAAATAACCTTCCTTGCTACATAAATACTTCATTCGTTCTTTAATAGTAATCAATTACCAAGCAAACACACACACACACACATATATGTTGGGGTATGTTATGTATGTGTAAAATTGCAGATTTGGTTCTGGAGCTCTAAAGCAAGAAAGAAGATGGGATAGATCCACCAGATTCACTGCCAGCAAACACTACTGCGTCGTGTTTGGGTTCATGAAACTCAATCTTTGTTTCATATTTTCTACCTTCTAAAGTAATTAATCAATTACTACTATTATATATATAAATGTCTGAGTGAGTGAGTGTGAAGTGATAAACTTTGCATCAGCATCTATCTATCTATCTATCAGAACAATAATTTAAGATGTATTAAAGAGTGCTTTCATTCTCTATCAGCTCTTATTATTATTATTATTATTATTATTATTATTATTATTATTATTATTATTATTATTATTATTATTATTATGGTTATGTGAGATGAGTATTACTATATGTGTATACATGTGTTTGAGATCCTACTATACTATGGACCATTTGTGATGCATGTGCATGATTTATGCACATTTGAGTATATTATAAATTAATATTGGTGTCTGATTATGATGATTACTAATTAATTGTAAGCAGAGTAGAACTGCATTTGTATCTTATGGTGAGAAAACAATAGTCAAAGAGATGGATAGCTTTGAGGATAGATTTTAGTAGCTTCTTGGCTCACACTTATGATAAATTCATCTAACCCTCTGTTTCTAAAACACTCACAAAGGTAACAACAACAACAGCAACAGCAACAACATTACCCTAGGCCTCGACAGCTCCCGTCCATTTGTTCTACCTACACCCTTATTTTATATATATATATATATATATATATATATATATATATATATATATATATATATCAAGAAAATGAAAGTCACAAATTCACAAACATTTTCACAACCGAGATTTATCTCACCTTATTTTCGCTCTTAGAGACAATTTCACAAGCATTCACATTCACGGGCATGGCCACATAACAATGTCTATATTTGAGGAAAAATTGGGACTTCAGCACAAATTTTTGGGACACCCTAACATGACTCTTATATAAAAAGAAAACTCGCGTGAACGACATCCTTGGGCAAAAGGGACAACTCTGAAAACGATAAGGAATACTCCCCTAGTCCTAAGAAGATTTGCCCTCTGCTCTCTTACCTTTTCGTCCTTTCTTGAATAAAATTTATACTTTTCTTATTTCCTTTTAAGGAAAAATATATGTGACTCACAATATTTCTCTTTCTAAACAAATTCAAAACCATATCTTAATCTTTTTAACACATACTTTTTTTAAAAACAAATCTATTAAACCAAAGCGCATATTCATTTTCGAACAGATGGCGTTCGTCGAATAGGCCCGACCCATGCATAGAATTCCTATCTGCTTCCATCTTGATATCCTATAGTTTCTTTGGTATAGACCAAAACCACTAACGGAAAAACACAGACCATTCTTGAGATCCAATGTACAAAGTAGCAGCAGCAACATCTTCTATCCATGTTATCTTTATTCATTTCATTTCTTACTTACAAATTTTACATTGTTTATCAAACTTTCATTGTCAATATTTTACAACCATCAATTCATCATCAACAATTGAGAACTTTGTGTGTGTGTGTGTTATAAATGTTTGCAGAATTAAGAACATGAATCATGGAGTAACGCAGAGAAGAGACACTAACATTGGCCATCCATGTAATCTATCAACAGATCCTTCACCATAACTCGATCTGGTATCCTCCCAGCAGCACCATATAGCGGTGCAAGCCCTCCCGTCATAGGGCCTGGATTTTTTTTCACCTGAAAAAAAAACAAGTGTCTTTGTTGGTGAAGTACTCCATCTGTCAGTGTCTCAGCCGTGACTGGCGACTATGGCTCCGTTTGGCATTAACTTTAACATTTACCTTCAACATTTTCGAGCTTCTGCTTTATTAAAAAGCAATATAGTGTGTTTGACAATATGCTTCTACTTATAGCTTATGGCTTTGGAAGTCTAAAATGAGCTTCAGAAGTGCTTTTCAGCAAAGCTAAGAGTGAGTGCTTTCGCCTTCTACTTATAACTTTTGTTTTTTCAGGAATCTGATGTAACCCATGCACCCTCAAAGTCATGTTAAGCTCTAGGGTTGAATTAGTATTACAAACATGAGATTTCTAATTTAGAGGAATAGATTTAAGACGGAACACAGTTGTTGAACTAGAGCATTTAGATGTAGCCACCTCATGGCTCATGAGGTAGTAGCATCCTCATTCTCCATTTCAACAAAGTACTTCCTAAACTTTGTCTCTTGGAAACAATCTTTCTACATTCTAGTACGGGTACGGTCTGCGTACACACACCCTCCCTTCACCCTACTTTTGTGGGATTCTACTGGGTTGTTGTTGTACTTCCTAAATTTTTCATCCATATTTTATCTTTCCTTGTTTGTCGTTGTTTGGGGTATAAGAAAATGACGTCGTGTCGTTGAGATTTATTTAGAAATGAAAGAATCAATACAAAAATACAAAATAGAAAGAAAGGACAAAACAAGAGCAGGTAGTATAACATGTGATGCTCACTCAAAAAAGAAATTATGGGCTTGTTATCTTTCCAAGTATATATTGCTTTACAACAAATCCGGTAAAATTCCACAAAAAGTAGGGTCTTACCCCTACTCGGAAGTAGAGAGAGAGCGTTTCCAAGAGACCACCGACTCAAACACAAAAACACGGATGGATAGTCAAAGTAAACAGAATAGCACAAAAAAATAAGAGCAAAGTAAGAGCATAGAGACATGAAGCCCACAAATCGACACTAGCAACTAAACCTATAACACAGAAATCACACATCCACAATCTAGACACTAGGTTAAAAACACACCCGCATAAACTACAAATTTAGTCCTTAAGGTCTACTCAACTACTCTAACACTAAATTTCCATATGTTCTTGTCTAAGGTCATTTCCTCTGTAAGATCCTGAAGTCGTACACCTTGTCTAATCACCTCCTTCCTCTCATGTCCACTAATGTAAGTATATATTGTATTACCCCAAAATAATGTAGAGCGCTACAAATATAAATGGTTAGGCAACAAATTACTTACAGTCTGCACAGCATCTTTCACGTCCCTCACAAAGTCTTGAGCAACTGATGTGTGTTGAAGTGTGACACAAATATGAATGCTGACAAGGGAAAATGAGAATGCCATTAGAACAATATTCTTGGTGAGTTTTAAGAAGGAATATAAGGCAAGTCATGTAAAGAGAGTCACCCCAACTACGGCTGCAAGCATTGCATGTTTTACATAACTACACCACTCAACTCCCATTTGGTTAATATGTAGCCTCAAATGTATAAAAAGAGAGTTGACTTCAATCAAGGTACAACTTTTAAAATTTGGCCATGTACAACGCTTAAGAGTCATGGAATCCTACTTCATACTTACGTTTCTAGTTTGTTTTTGTTTTTATCATATTGATTTGTTTGTAACTTTTTTGGATATTAAATCAAAGTTAGCTTTATTTTATGAAATATGGCTCTTATTATGGGGCAAAAGAGGAGTTCCAAATATGACACTTTTTTCAATCAGAGTAAATACTAAAGATATATATGGGGACAAACATAAACAAAAACAACAAACCCAGTAAAATCCCATAGAAGGTAGGGTCTGAGGAGGGTGTGCAAGCAGATCTTACCCCTACAATGAATTAGAATTCTGGAGACAAACATAAAGAGGAAAATTTGGTCACCTATTAGGTCTTTGCAACGCATTCAAATGCCACCCTTTAGATGACAAAATATCATTGACTTCAAATATGTCTACAACTTCAGATCCAAATGCGATAATACTCATATCAGGCTTTCCTATGACAAACAGTTCTGGAATCTCTTGAATTCTGCAATAGTTAAAAGCAGAATAAAATTTTGGTAATCCCAATAAGTTAAATGCCAATAAAATTTTGGGAATGCTAAAATGTCCACCCTTTCTCTATTTTCTTAGAAGCTTCCATGATTGCCTTGGTGTTCTTGAGGTAACCTGTAAAGTAAACAAGTAATATGCAATGTCAATTCAAAAGCCCTGGATCAAATATCCCATTCCTGCTAGAGACTAAGTGTCACGTTGGATGTAGGATTTTGGAGGGATTCTAGAAGGTTAAGTCCATATCTTGATATACATTTGATGTTTTAAGAAAATGGAATGAATAACATAAATGGTGATCAAGTAAAAGTTCAACCGCTTTGTTCACTTTTTTGTTGAAGATATAATCCTGATCACTCAGGCTAAAAAAAAGACTAATATATCAGAATATGAGTTGCTCCTCCCATTGCCAATTGGTTTTGGGTTGGAATCTCATAATTCAACATGGTACCAGAACCAAGGCTTAGGAGCTCAAAATAGAAGCTCAAGTATATTCGAACAAGTAACAACTTGAGGCAAAAAAGGCCCAAATTGCACTTGAAGGGATGTTGAGTATGTAATCCCACATTTGGCTAAAAAAGACTAATAATATAGAATATGAGTTACTCCTCTCGCAGTCAATTGGTTTTGAGTTGGAATCTAATTATTCTACACTTAAAAATTATTTGTTTTTCAATATATAGACTAAGCCTACAAAGTATTTCAACATTCTCTCTTCGAACTGGCCCATAAAGGAAATGTGAAAGGTACAAGTGTACCACCCACCATCAAGTCCAACAGACATCATCGCCGCCCAAGCTCCAGCAATTAGACCTCCAGGCCTGCTCCCAGCAATGGTGGGAGAGACATACAGCCCGCCAGTCCATTCAGTAACTGAAGAAACAAAGATACAATCAAGACTAGAACCAATATTGCAAGTTGAGCGAAAATATTTTTAATCCAAAAAAAAAGAGTAAACCATCATATTGTGACCGTATGATGACCTCAGGAAATTACTACATATGTTCCATAATTATCTTCCTATTGTCCTATTTGGGTTGTCCCAAAATTTTGTTCCACCTTTTTAAGGAAAAGAATGTGCGATCCATATTATTTTCTTTCCTCTACACAAAACCACAACCAAACGAGTTCTATATTAAAACTTGTGACAATCCCATACAAGATAAGTATGGGACGAAGAAAGTATATACTATATTAGTGGTATTTTAAAAAAAGTAACTCACCAGCAACAAATTGATGCTGTTATAAGTTGGTCCACCAAAATGCAAACAAAGAAGCAACCAAACATGCCACATCCAAAACAAAACTTGGATAAGAAACTAAGATTAAAAAAAATGCATAATTTGATAAAGATAAAAATAAGCATTTCAGTAATACACTGATATGCAAAATACAGTATGGAAGTTAGTGGCTAAAATGGAAATAAGAATTACCTTCCGAATGTCGTGATTTCGGTATAAAACAACACTTGTTCCCTTTGGAGCCAATCCATACTTGTGTACATCTACAGATATTGAGGTTACTCCTTGAACAGTGAAATCAATTGGTGGAACCGGGTACCTATGAGAGTCGAGCAATTGGTTTGAGAATTTTGTTAACATATGTTCTACACCATAATGACCCTACCTGTTTTCATCTTCGATTCTTACAAAAATTATTTTATTTGAATGCTCGCTGAAAATAAAAATGTTATGCAAATGATAGGAAATAGAAGACATGCAAATTGTCACAGCGACTTAAGAAATATAAATTAAGCAAGGGTCTTGGAGGGAACAAATAAACGGTGATTGAAATATTATATAAACACGTGTTATGTTATCCCTTGAAAATTTAAAATATCTCAACTGTGGTTAGCAATATATAGACTTAGCCGTCCATAGCACTCTCCTTTGAAACACTCCATCCAAATTGACCCTAAACAACAACCACAGAGTGGGTCTGGGGTGTATACGCAAACCTTACCCCTACTTGGAGAGTAGAAAGGTTGTTTTCAAGAAACCCTGACTCAAAACATAGAAACATTACAGCAAAAGAAAGTAGCACAAACAGAATAAGAACCCATAGAGAACCAAGAACACATGCAAGAACAAATTGAGCAGAAGGATTTTTACAATATGGATTCTACACACAATTAGAACTTTGATTCCATTATTCACCTAATCTTCTCAATGATTTCCATTTCTAACCATGAACAGCTAAATAATGTTCACTTCGCCAGTTTATATTACAATACGATTATGTCTTGACGAAACTCCTTCCATCATATCCGATGGAGCCAAAAATTCACTATATTTTGGCTTTGGGTGATGGAATAAAGCAAATAGATCCCTAAACTCTGTGCGCTTCTTTAATTAAAGAAGTAGCAGTTAGTCAATCAATGCAACTTTCTATGCTGAGCTGGGGGTTTCTTTGGAAACAGCCACTCTACTTTCGAGTAGGGATAAGGTCTGCGTACCCACACCCTCCCCAGACCCTACTCTTGTGGAATTCAACTAGGTTGTAGTTGTTGTTGTATGTCTTGACGAAATTCTCTACGAAATATAAAACCCAACTTTTTATAAACCTATATATTTCATTTGTCCCTTATTCATTTTCAAGGTTGGACTTCATTCACATTCTAAGTTTCTAACAAGTGTGTATAAAAAAGAGATGGAAAAATAATAGGGTTAGTGGATCATTTTAATGAGTGGGCCCTTTCCAAAAAAAAGGTTAACTGATTAAAAACAACCAGAAAAAAAAAGCTGAGAACACTACTGTGGAACAAAAGAGTAACAATAATAGCTAATGAAAATTGTACCCGAGTTTACGAGCAAAAGGCAAAACAAATCCACCAAGACAGAGGTCAACATGGCAACAAATTTTGAAACTAGAAGCTAATTCGCCCAAATCCTGCAAAAGTAAATATAATTCATGAATAGAAGGCAACAGTGGTAACACATGGTTGTTCATACACCCCAAGCTGACAAGACTATGTCACATGCCTCAATTGGATCAATTACTCCATGTGGGAAGCCAGGTGCTGATCCAACAATCTGTGGATGCATGGGATTCAGTCAGTTAATGCAAAAACGATTATGTATGATAGTGTTGTGCATAGAAATGATCATGAAAGCTTTGATGGTTTAGGCTCCATCGATTTCAATATGAAAGGAAGTAGGGGAGAAAAAATGGAGGGAAGATAAAGTTTTTGGTTGTTTGGGAGAGGGTAGAAAAGAAAGAATCTCAAAATGTGGTGAAATTTTGGCAGATATAGGAAAAAACAAATGTGCCCATAATTAATGAAATGGTGCATATATCTCCTAATTTGTACACAAAAACACAAACAAATTATCAGAGAAAAATTTGTCTTCACACCATCTTTTCTCTCTACCCTTTCTCCTTTCTCTCGATCCAAGAAACCTAAAACCTTCTCATTTTGAATTGATTTTCTCTTCACCTAGGCCTTTTTCGTTCCTAGCCTCTTTATCCAAACAAACTGATGGACTGAGATGCATAAAGGTGCAAGATTATAGAAAAACAGGAACACCCAGGCAATGTTCGAAATTGCGTATTGCGGTTTCGAGGCGTTTTCTTTTCATGGCGTATTGCGTAAGCCTCGAGGTGTATTGAGGCGTAAGCCTCAATTTTTAAATTGAAAAATATCCACAAAACAATTTAAAACTAAATATAGAACATACTCCGTAATATATAACATAAATAATCCAAAAACATTAAAAAAAGTATATTGTCAAAGTAATACATCGCAAACACAATAAAGTCTAACATGGAATAAGACATAATATTGCTCAAAGTGATGAACTCAAATTGAAGAATTGAAAAAAAGTTCATCAGTGTCTAATAGCTTGAAATTAGGATCAAAAGATTAGCACAACAATTATCAAAAAAAGAATAAAAAAAGAGATTAACAACTAAAAAATGCATCACCATCCAACTACTTGACAAAAAAACACCAATTATAAACTCCAACTGTAAAAAAGGAAAATTGAATGCTCGTGTACTTCATAAAATGATTACAAAAAAAACTAATTAAATAAATTTATCAAGATAATAAGTTAAGAGTAGATTATAAATCCTCCGGCTATCATCCATCCATTCTTATACCATTTGTCGGAAAGAAAAAAAATCGTAGCTGCTCTATACACGGAAAACAAAGACGCACAAAAGATGAATCGCACCTGCTATCGCGATGGAGATGAATCGCAGCTTGAAAATCTCAGCAATTAGGGTTGCAATTAAGGTCATCGACAAGGTAATTTTAAAATATATACACTTAATTGGGATAATTGACAACTTTAACCTTTTATTTCCTAAATTTTACACGCTCAATTGCGTATGCCTCATTGCGCGCCCCAGTGCGTACGCCCCATGGCGTAAGCCTTTAAGAAAATTGCGTAAAATGGCTAATTGCGTGAATCGGGATTCACACCAGGGCGTTATTTTCTGGAAAAAGTTTCATTGCGCGCCTTGAGGCGGGTTTGGGTTCCGCCTTTTCAAACATTGCACCCAGGTGATAAGAATATCACAATTAGAAAAAACTATGATGAACTGATGGATATTATTTCATAACAAAAAAATGCTCTTACCATTATTGTGTTTTTGTTTATATGTTTCTTAATAGCTTTCACATCTGCTCTAAATTCTTTATCCACGGGAACACGCCACAACTTGATCTTAAAATACTCTGCAGCTTTGTCATATGCTGAGTGAGCAGAAACCGGGATTATCCTGAAGTTATAAATGAAACTCAGTAATGCAAGATGGAGATATCATCAAGGTACATAAAAGTAGCTTGAAAAGAGAACTGCATACATTTCTGGTTTGGTGATTCCCTTTTTAGCTCTCATATAATCACGTGATGACTTAACTGCTAACAATATACTCTCAGTCCCTCCTGATGTCATGTTCCCGCATATTTGTCCTCCAGAAGCTTCTTCCTTGCTTCCAAAGAGTGCAGCCGTCATAGCAACAACTTCAGCCTCAAATCTTACAACACTTGGGAATATATCCATGTGTAGTGGGTTGGTATGTGCAAACCTGAAACATTATATATATACCAACGGTAACACATCTGAAGACACCTAATGGAATGGTAACTCATGATAAAGAGTTGAACCCTTAAAGAAAATAATCCCTTGGATCCTATTTATCTATCCATTATATCTAAATATCACATGCACCATCTGTCCCATTTAACTTATCTTAGTTATTATTTATTGGTCAAATTAAAAAAATTTCCTTAGCTTATTTTCTTTAATATTCTTTTATGATTACAGTCACGTTGCTACTGATGTCTTTCTGGAATACGGAGTATGTAAGTTTTATTTGTTTATACACTGAAAAAAACATTACAAAACATTGAATTGAAAACAACTTCAATCTTGCCCTGCTGCACAAGTACTCGACTAGGAACATAAAATGAATAGGGCAGTGGGAGCATTATAAAAAATATAAAATGGCATAATTTCTAAAGCAATCACAACTAATGTAGTCTAATTCAAATTACTCTTATTCATGAACACATTACAAATTTGAAGAGCAAGTATCCTCCTTTACGTTTTTTTATCTTACTTTCATGGTTGCCCATGTGCTTCTATTTAATTCTCTGAACGGTAGAACATGAAGAAAATACAGTAACTAATGCTTTAATGCGCAATGTATATTTACTATATGGACATATGAAAGGAACACCAAAAGGCATCAAAAGATTTGTTTACATAGAACAAGTGGGCAACCCTTACATAGAACATGCTTCGTTTATTAAAGAAAAGTGCCCTTCATTCTCACTTCCTGCAATATATCTGCACAGCAAAATGTGAAATTATTTTGTCAAGCCAATGTAGAACCAAGAGCAAAGGGGGAAAAGAATTACTATTAATGTGTAAAACTAAAAGGTAGTTTGGAATAAAACTTAGTACTCCCTCCGTCCCTAAATAAACTTCCCCTTTCATTTTTTCTTTGTCCCCAAATAAACTTCTTTTTTCCCTTAAAAAATCCCTTTTACCCCTTACTTTTTCATACCCTACCTATCACATCATACCTTTTTACTAATAATCTACATATCACATCTTACTTTTACACATCACATCAAGGGTATTTTTGGAAAGTCAACACAAAAATATCCCTCCCTTAAATCCTCAAAAAGTCAAAAAAGGAAGTTTATTTAGGGACGGAAGGAGTATTTGTTAACATACACTGTACCAGAACATTTGCCCTGCCAGATCACGTCTTTTTCTTTCACATCTCTCATTGTTTTGATGACACCATCTCCTAAACCTGCTGTTGGCAAATAATCTCTCCATCCATCTCTAGATTTACCAGAAGCTTGCATCTTTTCTACAGCCTGCCCAGTTCAAAAGAACGTCATCACATGATATTGCATTAAAAAAAGATACCCTTATAAAAGTATGGTCCATTCACCAGACCACCACAAAATGAAAAGGAAAGGAACTGAATTTATTAATTCAGGAAAAACTATAAATTTAAAAAAGTGGTAATGTTATTATCAACCAAAAATCACAAATCAACTTAACTTAGTCAAAAAGATCCATAAAACACGAAAAGTTTTTTTGCCCAAGTTTTTGTGGTAATGATATTATCAACCAAAAATCACAAACAAGTTTTTTCTGCAAAAGTTTTTGTGAATTTTCCATCATCTCCGATGGAGCCAAAAATTCATTATCTTTTGGCTTTGGGTGTGATGGAATAAAGCAAAATGGATCTTTAAATTGTCTGCTCTTCTTTAATTAATGAAGTAGCACTTAGTCAATCAAAGCAACTTTTGACGCTGAGTCGGGGGTCTCTTTGGAAACGCCCTCTCTACTTTCGAGTAGGGTAAGGTCTGCATACACACACCCTCCCCAAACCCTACTCTTGTGAGATTCAACTGGGCTGCTGATGTTTTGTTGTTGCACAAGTTTTTGTGAAGAAAAAAATTTCTATTGAGAGCATAGTGCTCTCCATAAGGAAAACTTTGTGCCACCATTGTATTTCCTATTCTCCTTCATCCACAGAGAAGTCCCAACTATTGGGGTTGTCTGCCTCACGCCCTACCCTAACCGTATCATATTGTATGGTTTGGGTCAAGCCCTCACGAATTTATTCTGTGTCACCTCCCAAAAGGTCTCATACTAATGGAGTTGGGTGGGCACATATATATTGATCTAGTTTTCATTCTCAATCTGAGGATATGGTCATATGGTTTGTTACTCAACACCAACTTGATAATATAATTCTAAGGCAATGTGTTATGGGGCCTCAGGAGGGGCTTGACCACCCTCCATCACGCCCTCGTCCATAACATATAAGGCGTGAGGGGCGTTACCCCAAATGTTGTGACCACCATCACTGCGTGATGCTTCTTCCTTCCCCAATTATTTTTTTTCTTTTTTAATTTTGAACCAACCAAAATTTAACACACATGACTCACACATCATCACTTCCCTTCACACGCACCATAACACACATATTTCTATCACTCCACATCATACCCCTTTACACACCATCAAGCCCCCACCATAACACATAGCCTAATGGTGACCCAAATAAGATGCTCTCCTAATTCCTAAATTTGCATGCTTTGAAAACACATCTGATCAAATGATTGAAATCAACCTTTTGAGGTACTGTATTTTGGCAAAAATTACATCGAAACTAGACTGAAGCAGGCACCTAATTATGAGTAATTTATCATACTATGAACCAATTTTCTCACTTAAGACTCATAAAACACCACAGGAAAACAAATTGAGGTGCAAAGATCAAACCTTTTGTTTCTCTGAATCGATCAACTTCTTCACACCCGGCACCATCCTGTTTTCTCAAAGTAAAAACACCAAACAAGTAGATGACCAGACTAACAAGTAAAGTATTTAAAACGAAAAAAAAAAAAAAAAAATCGGAGACGAGTATTGAGAATCTACTTGACTAAGGTCATGGTGAAGCCGACAATGGAAGGTTTGAGGCCTCGTTCATGGACAGAATCGAGGAAGGATCGGAGAATCCGAGCGACGAGGAGAGATACCAGTGGAACAAGAAGCAGAACGAGCGGCTCGTACTGAGCCAGGAACGAGTTGGCGGAGGCTCGGAGTCGGCTCAGCGAAGGCGATGATTCCATTTGCCGGGACCTGGAAGAGATCGATGTGAAGAAGACAAAGTTGGGTTGGTATCGGATACTATGAGCAGACGAAGACTCTCTTTCTTAAATCAGTAAAATGTATGGAAGCTTCATTTGAATACATGAAAGCGGAGTTGCGATTAGAACAGTGTCGTCTTCTTCATTCACAGGGGTGGGGAATTGTGTTGAAAAAGGAGAAGAAGACCATACGTGTACGTTAGAGTCCCTCTTTGGAAAAGACAAATACCCTTCATTTTGATGGAAAATATTTATGGATTAAACTATTTGTATACCAAAATTGTACTCCTTCTGTCCCTAAATATTCACAACATTTGTTTTTTTTGGAGTATCGGAAACTTTTGTTTATTTCGACGTTTTCATTGAATATTTGATAAAATAAAATATTCTTGACACCTCTTATTTCGAAAAAATTTTCATGTAGTTTTTTATATGTAATTTTTATTTTTTATTTCTTTACTAATATGTAAATAAAATGAATTGAAAAAACTTGATATTTTGCCTCGGGAATACAAATGTGGCAAATAATTTGGGACGGAGATAGTAAATCATTTTGTACCTCGAGGGCATGCATCAACATTTTATGCTAGTGTAATGCTTGTGTGATGATTTACTATTATACAAAATATCCGTGCAAATTTTTTTGATTGAACTAACATTTTATGCCAGTCTAAAATGTTAAAATGTCGGTGCATCTATTTAGAGTACAACTTGAAATACATTTTTTGTCTACCCCTAGCATGGTTGAATATTCATACTTCCTCCGTCCCAAAATATTTGTCACATTTGTTTTTTCAACAATCACGAAAACTTTTGTTTATTTGTACGTTTTCGTTGGTTATTTGATAAAATAAAATATTCTTGACACATCTTATTTCAAAAAACTTTTCATTTAGTTTTTAAATATGTAAATTTTATCTTTTTATTTCTATACCAATATTTAAATAAAATGAATTGAAAAAACTTGATATTTTGCCTCGTTTTTAGAAATGTGGTAAACATTTGGGGACAGAGGGAGCACAATTTTACTTATACTTTATCTGTATTTGTTTAGTTTGATTTTTTCGAGTTAAATTAGATGGACTTTGAGCTTTGATTAAATAAAATTTGTAACGTACGGAGTATATTAATATAAACAAGATTTAAGTATATTAATATTGTTGATAACTTTCAAAATTTAATCACATTATACTAACATGCGAATTTGCGATACAATTGAAATAAAACATTTGAAGCTCAAAATTCATCCAGTTTGACTTGAAAAAATTAAACTGTATAAATACATTGAGACGGGGATAGTAATTCTCAAGCTATAATACATAAGTTAACTCGTATTTGTAGACACTTAAAATTATATTTTTCATGAACTAAAATTTTAAAAGTTGTTCTCAAACACACTCTCAAAGACCCCCTTAATTGTTTGACACAGTAAAGTTTCAATTAGCTAGTCAAACAAATTTAACAAAAAACTTCCTCCGTCTGAAAAAAATATTTTTGTTTTAATTTACGAAGTTTGGCTAGAGTTATTTTCAATTTAATTGATTATATGTATAAAATTTAAAAATAAAATTTATATATTTAAAACTATATGTCAAAGTTCTTGTGGTCGAACGGATTACAATGGCTCTCCCAAATGAGAGGCTACATGTTCGACACTAACACGGACGTTAACTCTCTACACTTTAGTAGATTAAAATAATTGTATAAATAGATACTACCGAATATATATTATACAAAGCTAATAGTTCAAAACTATATCAAAAGTTTGAACAAGTGATCGATGACTAATGAAAATATTTTTTGCACAAAATCATAAGTTTTTTTGAGTGATACGTTGCCAACTACTGTTAGAGCCACTTCTTTAGCAACAGGGCTACTTGCTCGTAATAACCGATCTAAAAATTTGAATAGTTGAAGAAACCACTGGTTAGGGTGCGGGGCACTGGGCACTGGTCTTGACTTTTGAATAAGAAATATAAAATGACAAAAAAGTTAATAAATTTTATTTTAAATATTTATTGAACATTAAAAAAATTAATAAGGAGTAGAAAAGGTGAAATTTTACTTCATAAAAAATTAATATTATGCAATGAAACACATTTAGTTGGGATCTCTTCAATTCTAGTTGCGGGCTAATCCGCTAATATACATATATTCTGAAAAAACTAATCCTGGTATGAGTTTTTTTTAAATGAAATTGTTTGATTGAAGATGATGCATTAGAGACAAAAGGAATGTGCATCGCCAAATAAAAAAAATCCAGGAAGAAAACGAACGCGCTTTCTTGGACGTCTCAAAAAGAAAATGAGCATTATGTTTTCGGGATAGAGGAAATGCCATTGATTAAGTACTACTACATTTACAAGAGGGGGGTTCCCATGACATTGGGAACCAATGTCATGGGATGACCCGGAGGTGCTCTGGTGCCCCGTTCGTAAAATTGACGGTTCCTATCTCCCCGGTAAATCCTTCTACCCCGCCCCGACCCGAACACGCCCCCCACCTCCAAGTTAATTTTGACTTTGGAGTCAAAATTTGACTCCAAAGTCAAAATTAACTTGGGGGTGCATTTACAATTTCAATTGCAAATTAGGAGTATTTCAGTATTAAAATATTTTATTTTCTACTCGCATTTAAAATGTTGTGTACAAACGAGTTATTTTTTGAAACTAATAATTCAATTACAAAATAAAATCTGTTTATATATTCTTAATCTATTAAAATTCATAGAGTTGTTACCTCTATCAATGATCGAACACATAATGTCTCACTTAAAAAAATTATAATAGTGTTATAGGATTACAAGGTTCTTGGCAAGTTGTTAATCAACTATTTTGATTTTTTTTTTTTTAAAAAAAAGTTCTTGTATATGGGACCAGTGAGCAATTGCATTTACATGTGCGCGCTGCACAATCAATAATAAAGGAGCAATAACTTTACCCTCGAAGAAATTAATAAAGGTGCAATAATTTTTTTTATATACGAAATCAAGCAAACATATATTAGACGGATCAACACGTAGTATAATCTTTTAGGGAAAAAAACGAGAAGAAAAACTAACAATTAAAATATGTGGATTTGTAGTAGACTTGTAGTCATGAAGTTGTCTAAAAAAAAACTCTACAAAAATTCCAAGATTCTAGAAAAAAATGTTCCATACAAAGTGAAAACAAATAACACAAAGTAGGGAACATTTTCTAACTTTCACATTGGGATACAAATCAATGACACGCGTGTGTCTGTGTAAAGATGAAAGTAAGATCGGGTGCAAGAATAGGGAAAATATAGCGTGAAATTATTGTTGTTATTCGGCCCGGTTCTAGTGCCACCGGAGAACGGTGCCACTCCGGTGCCATTGCGTTTTTGGTGCACCTCCAATGCTTCGTTCGTAAAATTGACGATTCTTACACTCCTAACTCACCCCCTAAACAAATACTCACAATCCATTTCATCCATCCATGTGCTTAATTTATTATTCTTGTGTCCCATTTTATTCTATTTTATTTTTTTATTTTTAATAAGCTCCACCTTTAAATGCATCCAATGGGATGGATGTTTTACCCTCTCTCTCCATTTAATCAATCACCCACAATCTATTACTCCCTCTGCCGCTCAGTTTTTGTCCACTTTCATTTTTGTACACCATGCAATACACTTCTTTAATCCATTTTATCTTGTAATTTGTATATTAAAAAATTATAGAAATTATATATTAATAATCTATATGTTAAGACAAATCAAACAAGATCACACATGATTATATTTAGGCTTACACATTGAGAGAATTTGATGAGTCAAGTGATTAGATGAACAGTTCCAAAAGTCAAAAGTGGACAAAAACTGAGAGACGGAGGGAGTAAATGACATTTCCCATCCATTCATCATTTTAAACACCTTTTAAAGTACAAAGTGATTAATTTAAGATAGTAAATAAAGTAAAGTACAAGTGGAACCCATGAATGGTTGAATGTAGGAATTCTAGGAAATGTGTTGTGAATGTTTGTTCAAAAAATAAGATATTTAAATACTCAGGAGTATTTATAATGCTAAGATGATATGAACCAGAAAGATTTATTAGATAGTTAAATTTTTGAAAGCATTTTAAATTAGACTCAGTATTAGTAAAATTTATACTCCAACTAAAAATAACTCTGTCTAAAAATATTTTACTCCATATTTTAAGAAAATTTAAATGTTACTCCCTCCGTTCCTTAAACTTCTTCCGCTTTTTTTTTCTTGTCTCACTAACTCCTTTCCTTATCTATTAAAAAACTAATTTTACCCCTTATTTTTCATACATTACCTATCACATTATTTTTTTTTACTAATAATCTATCACATCTTATTCTTACCCATCACATCAAGAATATTTTTAGAAAGTCAACACTAAAATATTCTTCCCTTAGTTTTCCAAAAATTTAATAAGGAAAACCCTTTCGGGAACGGAGCTGAGGAAGTATAAGATATGGAGTAATTTGTATATTTTAAATTATTTTAATTTCTTACATTTAATTAAGCGAAATACGATTTGGAAAGCCAAAAAGAGCAATTGTCGACACAATCATTGACCACGCACATATATAGTGGGGAGAGTAGCAAACAATCCACACAGAACAAAAATCCCGAGACCCTTTCACAACCCAAATTAGCCTTTTTTTCGAGTTTCCACTTTAATGTTTAAAGAATGAATGGCTGAGATGACGAGCTATTGGGTATCTACTGCTCCATAGACGAACCTCTGGCTATGGCTGAAAATCAATAAAGAAAAGAAAAAGAGGAAAGCTAGCAGCTTTGAGGAAGAACTACAATTCTTGATTTCTGAGGTATCTTTGGTTCCCATATTCAAGCTTCTTTTGTTCCCTTTTTTTTTTCTGCTATAAAGCTTTCAATGGATCCCAAGCCCTTTTTTTCCCCCTGCTTTTTCACTATATCAATAATGGGTAGTAATAATTATGGGCATTATTGATCTTTAACTGATGTAGCAATCAAATTATTGCTGACGAACAATAAAGTTAAGACCTTTCCTTTTCTTGTTTTGCTGTGCTCCTCTCTTTTTTCCCCCTTTTATTGTAATAATAATATGAGTACATGCTTTCCCAGCACTTAAGAATCAATTAAAGAATGGTTAGGAAATTTCCCCTCTTCCCATTGAGTATAGAAAACCACAACAGATTTGATTCCATAGGTTGAAGATATCCCCTCACATTTTTAGAAAGAGAAATATGAATTTACAGAAATTTGAGTTAAATTGGTTAATGTATGGAATTTAATAGTTGGTTTTCCCCCATGGGTTTTATGAGCAGATCCAGTCATGAATCTTATGACCATAAATACTCATGTAGTAGATTATTCAGTTGCTGTTGTTGTTGTTGTTGAATAGTAATGAATCATTACATTGAACAACATTAAACACATATTAGCATTTGTGTAATTAGGGAACTTCAAACCGAAGTTGTCTTTTGCAAAAGTGAAAGACGGGGAGAGAATGAAGAGGTGGGTTGCACCTTTGTATTGTTTTTTAATGTTTCTTTGTTGATGATAATCCGTGTTCCTTAAGAATTTGTTCTTGATTGGATTCAGATTTCTGGGTATAATAAATAATCTGTAAGGCAGAGATTTGTTGGTTTGGGACAAGAAATTCAAGAACACAATTCTTGTTTTCTTTCCCCCTTTCTTTCTTGGGTGATGGAATCTTCATCTTCTTCGGGCGGAGCATTGAAGAAGGTGAAGGCAAGTGGTAATAGTTCTCATCAGGTTGCTAATTGCTTGGTGGATGGGTGTGAGGAAGACCTTAGCAAGTGTCGAGACTATCATCGCAGACATAAGGTTTGTGAGCTCCATTCTAAGACTGCTAAGGTCACTGTTGCTGGTCGGGAGCTGCGGTTCTGCCAACAATGCAGCAGGTAATCACAGTTACCCTTTGTCTTTCTTGTCTCCTTTATATGCTTCACGAGGCGTTTGGTTTCTTGAAAACTAATGAAATTTTGAGCTAATGTTGATCGCATTCTCCCTGGCTCAAACTGTGTTTGTTTTGAACTTATGATGGAAAAGAAAGTCAATTGAAAGTTGTTTACTTGCCCATTCAATATTACAGTTTTTGTGTTTAAAGACAATTAAACTGCGGTTTCTTTGTTAGTACTTCATTGTTGTAATCGTTTGTAACAAAGATAGCTACTTGTGAGGGAATTCATTGTTTGTAGGCCAAAGTGCCGATATAGAAACTTTTGTGTTTCAAGATTGACTCCCGAGTGTTAGTATGATTACAAGTATATGGATCTACATGTGTACTAGGTTTCACCCGCTGTCTGAATTTGACGAGGGAAAAAGAAGCTGTAGAAAACGCCTCGATGGCCATAACAAGCGCCGAAGGAAGCCTCAACCAGACTCTCTCAACAGCAACAACAACAATAACAACAACAACAACAACAGAAGCACGACAATGCCTTATTCCTCTAGTCCACAAGGTTAGCTCAATTTGATTAAGATAAACATTTTTGTATTAATATCTCAAGATTACAGGAAACAAGAATAATAGAATACACACACACACACACACACACATATATAGAGTGATTCAAGGACCAAAGACTTGGGGTTCCCAATGGCTCAGTCTACATATTTGTCCCTTTGCAGGTTCAAAGCAGATTCTCCATTTCGGCGGTTCCGGCGCGCAAATGTACGTGAATGCTGATGTCAGCAACACCGTGCTATACAACACCCCGTCACACTTCACTTGCATGGACGCTCAAAAAACTCTGCCGATGACATCATCACCACACGACTACAACGAACCAAACCGGTTCCAGCTCGTGCAAGGCGGGGGGGACAGGAATCTTCCGGAAGCTTCGGTCTCCCACGGGGTGTTTCCGGGAGGAGGATTCGACCAATCCGGTGGCGACTCTGGTCGTGCTCTCTCTCTTCTGTCATCAGCGCCAGCTGTCACAAGAGAGCTCGGTTTTGCCCAACCGCTAGTCCACGGCCTGGACTACGATGCTTATAGTCATCAATACACATTCTCTCAAGAAACCGGAGAAGCCAAACACGGCCTCCACTTCCCCGAAATGTTTCAGAACGCAACGTCGGATGGATCCTCCACGAGTGGTGGCTCTCATCAAACGGCGACATTCAGGTGGGAGTAATTAATTAATTAACACCATAACTTACACCTATATATATGTTCTAGGAAAATGCTACTTTGACCTCTCTGAAGTTGACACCACCAGAGACAATCCTTGTTTGTGATACAATAACGGTGTCACCTTTGGTGTTATCCGTGACGTGATCGTAGCATGATCCGTATGTTTAAGGGCAGGCCTTGTAGGACTGCCCTACACTCTCTACTTTGATAATGAGAATGTGAACCTGTAATAAGGAAATAGGACCTATCAATGGTAAGACTTGGTTCTTTTGACTATTCCATTTTTCTTATTATCTTATTTTAACCTTTTCATATGGGCTACTCACAGGCATGTGTGCATGATTTGTTTATTTATTCTTTTACTGGAGGCTGAAGACTGAAATCTGTCTTTTTACCGTTGTTTTTTTTGAACAACAGTCTTTTAAAGTAAATATTGTCAAAAATGCACATGGCAAGTTTTGTGGATGACATTTTGGAAACAAGTACACTAGAGTGGGAATCATCTTTGAACAAGTAGATTGATCTCAAAATGCACCCTCAAAAGTTTAAAATATTTTTTATTGCACCCTCCATCAATTTTTTTAATATTGAAATGTATTTAAATTACGATGTTTGACCAAAATTATTCTGTATGAATAGATTCAATTGATTTAAAAACTAATGTAAAAATAAAGATAAAATTTATATAAGGTAATCTTACACCAAACAAATGGTGCAAGTGATACCAATTTAATTGAAGCAGTTAGACTACTTCGATCCTAAAATTATAGGTTACTTTCCCCCAACCTTGTCACCTCGTCCCCCGCCCCTTGGTGACAAGGGAAAACATGGGAGGGGATTTAGGTGTGTCAGAAGAATATAAACTATCAATTTTACTATCAGAATACCACAAACGTCCCAATTGAATTGATGTTGTGATCTTACATTAAATAGTTTGTGTAAGAGTATTTGCACTATGAGGGGAAGATCGAAAATTGCGGCACGCCGAGCAGTGGGCAAAGGATGCTAATGTCTAGGCGGGCTAGATATTGCGTTGCACACCGGGCACACCGCTAGTCCTGCGGCGCAACCGCACCTGAGAGGATGCCGAGTGGCCATCCATTGCAGCGGGCCGCCGTGCTAGATTCCAAAAACTTATTTTTTTTTTTTTTTATTATTATTATTATTATTATTATTATTATTATTATTATTATTATTATTATTATTATTATTATTATTTCAACTCTATAACTTCATCATTTCTCTATGCATATTTTTTAACTAGATTTTATTTTGGTGTCTTTCTTTTTTTATTTTGGTTTTTTAAATAAAGAGTGTTCTTGTTAGCATTTTTATTTTAATTATATGTATTTTGTTTTTATTAATATAAATTTTAAATTAAAATAATGAGTGTTCTTGTTAGCAATTTTGTCTTTGACGTGATGGATAAAAGTAAGGTGTGATGGATAGATTATTAGAAAAAAAGTATGATGTGATAGGTATGACAAGAAAAAGTAAGGGTAAGAGTGGTTTTTAATAAAAAGTGGAAGTGTTTTGTTGGAAATAGAAAAAATGAAAGAGAAAGTGTGTTGAGAACGGAGGGAGTACATTGTAATTTTAAAAATAAAAATTTTGAAAAAGGAAAAAAGAATAAGCAACCAACTTTTCATAGTATAAATACGATTATTTGCAAAGATTTTCCGTTTTCGTAATTAGTTTCTTTTGAATGCATTTTTAAATCCGTGCCGTTGAAAAATGATTTTAATTTAGTAACATAAATATGACATGAGATTCAATATCTCTTATTTTCACTTATAGAATGTAAAAATATGATAGAATGGTAGTGCAAAAAAGGCAACTTAATTACCATATATAATTCATTTTAATTTTTAACATAATTAATTTTAAAAATATTGCTTCTTAATGAGATTTTTTTTATACATAAAATATATCCATTTAATTTTTTTCATTTGTCTGCACCCTTCCTAAACGTTAGTGTGAGTTTTTCTATAACATTATTTAATCCATTATACATTAACATACAACTAAATTTAGTCAATTTCATTATTTAATTTCTTCCATATTTGTTTTGAAAGTACGTTGGATTTCATTAATTCATGATGTCAAGATGTAAAACATTACAAATGAAAGCTGGAAGGACAAACATCGACTTTAGATGATCAGACGTAGATGTAGATATTCTAGTTAACAGTTGAACAACCTAATTCGTTGATCTTCTAACAAAAGGCCGTGAGAGAAAAGTATGGGTGCACCTTCAAATAAAAGTAGTAAAACTATGTTTAGAAGTTCTAATTGTAAAAATTAAAATTATACATAACAACTAATTCAATCATAACAATTTTAAATTAATGAATTAGATATATACTTGTTATAATAATCATCATAAGTGAATCGTTAAATATTGGTTATCGTCTTTGTATTTTTCTTCAACTTATTCTTATTATTTATTTTTATTAAATTTAGATTAGGTCAAATTAAAAATAGTTTTAAATATAAATCAATTACCTTAAATAAGACTAAAACATATGGAAAGTACCAAAATAAGATTTCCATTTTTTTCATTTCCTAAATAGGAGTTCACATTGTACTAATGTGACACTTTGCATGTACATTTTACGTAAGGTAAATGGGCATGATTGGTAATTTAATGCGTTTTAACTCTTATTTCGAGAAAAAAATATAGAATTCTTATTTTGGTATATTTTAAATATTTTACTCTCATTTTAATATTTTCTCTTAAATATAACTACAATTAGATCAAATTACATTTGAACTTATTTCAATTAAATTAGAATCATTCACATGAGGTGAAAATCATACTATCTCCGTTCTTAAAAGACCGGGAATTATGAATATGTATATTGACTTATAATGTAAATTTAATAAAATTGATTTTATTTTAAATATAGTTTTAAAATTTTATAATATTTAATTATTTTAAACTATATTTAATTCGTGGTTAAGAAGTACTACCTCCGTCCCAAAAAGATTTACACGTTTTGACTAAAGTTGAAATTAAGGGAGGGATAATTTTGTGTTGACTTTCCAAAAATACTCTTGATGTGATGGGTAAAAGTAGGATGTGATGTGTAGATTATTAGAAAAAAAGTATGTTGTGATAGATAGAGTTTGAAAAAGTAAGAGATAAAAGTAGTTTTTTAATAGAAATGAGTAGGAGATTGTGGGACGCAATTTTTTTAAAAGGTGTAAATCTTTTTTGGAGGAAGGGAGTATTATAATTTGATCAAAAATGTTGAATTGTAGCAATTGAAAAGGGTGGGAGTATACAAGTATTTGGTGAGTAGATGTTAATGTTGTGACACGTGCCCCTTTTACACCCATTTACCTCAATGGACTTTTAAGGTTTCCATTGGGCCCACACATCCATATTCCTGTCCGTCCACTATCCCATCCGCCCTTGGCTTCTTTCTCCTCCTCGCATCTCCACCGTCCGATTCACCTTTTCCGCCAATATTTCCTCGCTGGGCCCCCACAAACCTTCCCCCTCATCATTTCACTTGCTTCTTGAAATAAGTACTCTTCATTTAATAAAGAGGCCGGTTCTCATGTCATGGGATGACCCGAAAATGCTCCGGTGTCGCGTTCGTAAAATTGATATTTTCTACACTCTAAATCTTTGGTAAACCTCCACCCCGCCCCGACCCGAATACGCCCCCACCCCCTTCAAGTGCACCCCCAAGTTAATTTTGACTTTGGAGTCAAAAATTGACTCCAAAGTCAAAATGAACTTGGGTAGTGCAATTGAAGGGGGTGGGGGGTGTGTTCGGGTCGGGGCAGAGGGGGTTTACCGGAGGGTTGGGAGGTAGGAACCGTCAATTTTACAAACGGGACACCGGAGCACCCTTGGGTCATCCCATGACATTGGTTCACAATGTCATAGAAACCAAGGGGTGTAATAAAAGTTATAAAACCCTTCTTATTTTAACTTTTAGAAAAAACAAGAGGTATATATTTATAGTTGATTTCTTAATTTTGTCTTTGATGTAATGAATAAAAAATAAAATGTGATGGATAGATTATTGGTGATAGATAGGATATGAAAAATTAGGAATAAAAATGATCTTTTAATAGAAAGTGGAAGTTTTTGGTGAAAACAAAAAATGAAAGAGGACGTATTTTATGAAATGGAGGGAGTAAAACAATAAATAATACTCCTCCCTTCAGTAAAAATTTCCCGCTTTTGATTTTTTAATGATTTTGGTGTCTGACCTTTCACAAATGCCCTAAGGTTTTTTAAAGTGATGTTTCACATCAATGAATAATTAAAAATAATGGGAAGGAAAAATTAAAAAACAAAAATAAGATGAGATGTGATGAATGTGATGTGAGAAACTATGTTTAAAAGGGGTTTTCTAGCCTATTTTGAAGAATTTGAAATATTTTATGAGACGAATATGATGATAAAGTTGAAATGTTTTATGGAACAGAGAAAATATAATTTACATAAATATATTTTTCATCACCCATAAAAAATGCAACATATACATTGACGCTTTTATTTTTAATTTTTGGTTGTTCCGAAAAACTTCTCCTTACTTTCTTACGAAGAAGTAATTTTTACATGAAATGTCTAGTATGGAGTAACTCCGAAGCTTTTTATTAGGAATAATAAGAATAATAGAAAATAAATTATTATTATTACTATTATTATTATTTATCTTTTCTATTCTTTTGTTACGGCAATTACTTAGTTTTCTATGATTATGATTCTCTCTTGTACTCCGTATTATTTATATATAAAGATGAAATTCTCATTATTCAATAGGACCAATTATTATCAAACTATATCATTTTATGTCAATGTTCCATGTGTCACTAAGAGTTTATAACAATATAATCCCATCAAATCAGAAAAGAAAAGAATTGAAGAAGAACACAGTACAGTACATATAGTGGAGTGACTCTTCTGCATTAGATTGCAGCTGAGGCTATAAATACATATTATTGCAACTTTATCTTTTCTTGCATTTCTGTGGCTATATATACATACATAACAAAAGATTGGAAGAGATAAAAAAGAAATAAAAGATTGTATTTTTTTTTGTTTTTCCTTTGTTTTTTGGGGGGATCAAGAATGGTAAGGGGTAGGGTTGAGCTGAAGAGAATAGAGAACAAAATCAATAGGCAAGTGACCTTTGCTAAGAGAAGGAATGGGTTGCTGAAAAAAGCTTATGAACTCTCTGTTCTTTGTGAAGCTGAAGTTGCTCTCATCATCTTCTCCAATAGAGGAAAGCTCTATGAGTTCTGCAGTAGCTCTAGGTATACACACAAACAAGAAAATGCAATTTTTTCTTTAACTATTTGGTAAAAAATAAATAAATAAACTAATTTAGTAATAAAGATTTCATCTTTCAGGAAATAAAGGATACCCTTTTTCTTGGAATGTTTTTTATTTCTTCTTTTATTATATGTTTCATTAATTTGTTTGTTAATTACTACTTCTAAACAGTCTTTTTTTTGTTTAGGTAGAGATCCAAATGAGTAAGAATTGTAAAGGGAAAGTGTAATGTTTTTTTTGGGTGAAGTAGATTTGCCTTTTTTGTGATTGTTTTTGTGTGTATAGGACTTTGTGCTTGAAGGGCTTGTTAGATCTGCAAGAGGAAACCATGAAAAGAAGATAATTTAAATTGAAAAAAAAAAGATCTCTATTTATGCTGGGTTTTTTCTTTTCTTTTCTTGTGATGTGCTCTAGTAGTCTTCTTCTTTTTCTTCTTCTTCTTCCCTTCTCAAGTCTTCATCTTTCTTGCTCTTTCTTCTTCAGTACTTCACATGAGTACTCTGATTTTATTTCTTTTATTTTTCAATTTCTCATTTCCAAATGAAGCTTTTCTCCAGTTATTTGCTTGTTCTGAGCTAAAGATTGGATCTTGAAGATCATATTTGGTAAAAATCTTCAGAAATTTCTTTTTAAACATTGTCTTGTGGAGCTGTTTCTCTATATGGTTCACAATTAGTGAATTTCTTTTGATTTTAGTACCTAGGGTTTCACTTTCAGCTCCTTTTTCGAAACCCTAATTTTTTTAACCCCCCCATCCATCTCATAACAACATTTCTTTAGCCTTTGATGATGAAATTTTATCTTCAAGATCTGAAATTTGTTCCATTTTTAAGTTAATCTACCACTCTAAACCTCATATGTATGTTTCCCTATTCTTTTTTATTAAATAAAGTTCTTGGGATTATAAATTTCTTTAAAAAAAATCTGAGGAGTTACTGTGATGTAAAATTAAGGTGTTTGGGGGATGGATTAATTAAAAATCTGAACTTTACAGTATTTAATTTAATTATAGGGCTTTGTTTTTGGTGAAATAATAACTAGATCCGTGATACTTTCAAGAAAAAAAATTGATTTTCTCTCTCTCTCTCTCATGTTCTTGATTGATTTGATGTAGTTTTGTTGTCTAATCAGATATTGTTGTGTTTTAAGATTTCTGAATCACAGCCTCACAGGCAGTTTAATATCCAGTCATTGGATGAGTCTGCAGGTTCCTCCGAGGAATGTATAGTGTTGTCAAATTTAAATTATTGATTTTAAATTTTAAATTTAATTTTATTTCCTTATTTTTTTTCTAGGGAGAATCATAAATAAACTGAAAATATTTCATTTTATTTCTTCTT